TCTCCTGCTAGCAGTTTAGCTCCTCACTATTGCTGGATTTGGGATCTGCTTCTTAGTGAAATGTATGTCTTCTGGAAGAACACTTGTAAATCCACTTGACCATTAAAAACAATTTACCTGGGCTGGGGTTGTGGCTCAGCGGTAGAGGGCTCCCCAGCACCTGCAAGGCCCTGGGTTAGATCCTCAGCATCACATAAAAATAAATAAAATAAACTACAACTAAAAAAATTTTTTAAAAATTATCTTTGACATCATACAGGGAAACAGTGTATCTGTTTCACTATCATGTAAGCATCAATGACCAACACAGCCTCCTTGGTTTTTAGGAAATCATACCTTGACTGATTTCTTAAGAGATAGGAGTGTGACACAGAGGAAGAAAGTAATTACTGCTTAATTCCCTGAGTACCAGGGATAGAAGGGACAGAACTAACATTTAATGAGTACCTGCTGTGCGCCAGGTTGCTTTGCATATGTTATCTCAGTTGATCCTTTTAACCACTGTAAAAGTGAGACATTTTAATCCCCATTTAAAAATGATGGCACTAAGGCTCATAGCATTTCATTAAAATATTACAGTCAAGCAACCAGGAAGTGAGAGATACAGGAAGTGAACATGTCTCCCTGAGACATAGTCAAAACCCAGGCAATTCCCCAGGATAAACTGGTGTTCCGGAAAACAGTGGAGTCTTGACTCAAATGCTGAACTCAGATATCCCCAATGAACACCTTCTTCTAATTCATGGTAAATAGCTTTCCACTGACTGTGGGTGAACTGTTTGCAGAATTGTCAGGCTGGGCTCAGGGGTCCAGTGTTGATGTGTGCTGGTGTAGCTGAGAAGGTTCTGAAGTTCTTCCCTCGAAATCTATTTCTGAGGTTTGTTCTCAGTTTGCAGCTCTAACTATGCACTCCAATGCTCTCATCAAGCTTGTGTTTTCTTTGCTATTCTGGTGTCTGAGTTTTCTCCTGAAGTGAGCTGATCCATCTCTGGTCACTGTCCACTGGCATTATTCTTACCCATGAACCATGGTTTAGTGTTTAAAGTCCTGAGTGTTTGGACGGTCTTGACTGTGCTCACTCTTCTTCAGTAGACTCTGTTTATTGGCTTCCTAGATCTGCTTTAACAAATAGCCTCAAATAGAGTAGCCTAAAACAATACAAATTCGTCCTCGCAATGTTCTGGAGGCAAGAAATTTAAAATCAATTGTTGACAGGGCCATTCTGTGTCTGAAGATCCTAGGGGAGAATCCTTCCTTTCTCATTCTTCCTTTTGGTGGCTCCGTCATTTCTTGTAGCTACATCTCTTCATTCCCGGCCCCCATCATTCCACCCTATCACATGCCTTCTCTTCCCTGGGCTTCTCTCTGTCTTTCCTCTTATAAGGACCAGCCATCTGATTTAGGGCCCACCTTCCAGTATGACTCATTCCTAACCTAATTATACCTGCAAAGACCCTCTTTCTGAATAAGGTCATATTCTAAGGTTCTGGGTGGATGTGAATTTGGGGCTGGGAGTGGACTGTTTAGCTCACTACGTTCAGACACCTTCGTGACTCTCTCTAAGCCCAAATATACCATCCAGGATCAGTTGGGGGTGATGGTGCCAAAGGCAACAAACTCCTGTTTGTCCTTGGTTCCAAGCTACCTCAGACAGACCCTGGGAGCTACATGAATGTGAAATATTATTTCTCACTGAGAAAATTACATTTGCTGGGCTCCTTGCTTATTATGAGATAGGTAATGAACTTAACTAACTTTAAAAGGTAGAACGTATTTTATAATATCTAATATATATGGCTCATTATACTTTCAAGCAATAGAAAAAATACCCTGAAAATGTTGAAAATAAGGCATAAAATTGGTGTGGCAGTCAAAGAACACATCAGTTTAAAAGCTGATAGAAATAGCTTTTTAAAAACTGCCTTCAGAAAAAAGATAATGAATTATAAAGTGTGCTTGCCAAAATACAGCTCTCATAGTCCATCATGTACCTGATATTTTTTTCCAAGTTGAAAAGGAATCATGGGGTTGAAGTCACTTGAAAGAAAGAATTTTTAAAAATACAATTACATCTAAATTTGAGCAGTTCTGCCCGCCCTCATATACAATGCCACCTGAAGTTCTGACAAGCTGGTCAATACATGTCTCAAATCAGAACCAAGATTTTGTACTATGAGATATAATAGCTGAGTCTTATTGTACAGAAAATGAGGACACTGCTTATTAGTCAAACTAAATTTGCAGCTTAAAATGGCAGTCACAATAACTGGGGAACAGACTAGGAACTTGAATTGATGAAAATTATTTCCATTTAAATGAACTCTCAGAAGCTTGCTGGATGTAATTGTTACAACATCCTCAGAAAGCATACCTCACCAAATGTTTCCATCTGAAAAGTAAGCTAGATTGAAAACACCTGGAAAACTTGACTTTTTCTCTATTTTCCTTGAAGGTGGGAGGGCTCAGGATGCAGAGGGAATTAGATGGAACTCAACCTGTTAGTTAACTTAGAACCAGAGACTTGTAAGTCCCTGCTACATGTCCATGAGTAAAGAAGTTAATTTCCCTACATTTCATGATATCCAAATAGGGGCTTATAAGAGTATTTATTACACAAAATTGTTATACGGCTTAGACAGTGGAATGAATGTGACTTATCTTTCCTATGTACATATATAAATACACCACAGTGAATCTCAAGTACAACCACAAGACTAGCATCCTAATTAGAATAAGATGTACTCCATGTTTGTATAAATATGTCAAATTATACTCTACAGTCATGTATAACTAAAAAGAACATATAAAAAAGATTGTTATGAGGCTTAAAGAAGATAAAATACAAAATGAATGGCAGTGTTCAGTGAATGTTGGAAATTGCTAAAAGCCTTTCTGACTTGAGTTACTTTGCCTTTGGAATATATACAGTCTACTTCCTAATGACGTGGTTGGCTCAAATGCAGTATAAAAAATCTGCTTTAGCATAGCGCAGTGTTTAGGCATAATGTTCAGGGGTTTGGGTTCCTGGCTCTGGGATCTTCTCAACTGTCGTGCAATGGAAAGAACAATGAATCCAGAGCTACTAGCACTGATTTGGAGTCTGGATGCTGCCACTAACATCTCAGCCCAATCTCTCTGGGCCCCCATTCCTCACTTGTAAGTGGAAAACTTTCAGCTCCAGGATTCTAGGTCCATAGCTGTAGCTAAGATGACAGGCAAGCCTATGGAGAGAACAGGTGGAGAAGCTATGGAATTGAAATGGGGACAGAGGGTCAGTAGAGCAAAAGAGATGAGAAAGACAGAGGAGGAAAGAAGGAAAGAGAGTGGGAAGAAAGAAAGAAAAAAAAAGAAGGTGGTTGAGAATTCTTGCTCTGCCTGGTTATGTAAGCTGGATCCTTGGAACCTGACAGCAAGCTCAGAGCTGTGGCTGACTGCCTGACTGGCCTGTCTGAGGCAGGCTAGAGGTCAGCACTGTTGTAGCCTTCCTTTTTAGGAATTAGGTCTGTACATGCCAAGTGTCTGCTAAGGAGTCAGTGTGGGAATCAAAATGAAAACAAAAGGACTGTCAATATGTTCTTAGAAAAAGGAATAGAAAACAGAAGGGAGGAAATTATCTCAGAAATAATGAAAGACAAGCTCCCTGAAATGAAGGAAGGCATTCAGATGAAAGGGCTCTTCATGTACACAGCAGCTTAATAAAATGGAAATACAACAAAGCTCACTAGATTCTGGAATTTCGTGATATTAATGAACAATGAAACATATTACAGAGTGACAGGGGGAGAGAGAGAACAAGTCACACATTATGTTTGAGATTAGAATGGCATTTATCCTTCTCAAGGATGACACTGAAACCTAAAGGACTACAGAACAATGTCTTCTCTTCTGCAAGAAAATACTCTCTGATTCAGGTTTCTATATCCAGCTAACCTTTCAATTAAGAATGAGACGTTTGCAGATATAGGCAGTCTCAAAAATTTATTTTTCACACATAATTTGTTAGGAGAAATAATTAAGAAAGAAAGACATTTGGGAAAGAGGGACTATATTGGAAGAAAGAGCAAAAGGAATTACCAGCCTGTTTTTTTGAAAAGGTGAATCCTTAATTGTCACTGATAGGAACAGTGACAATAGGAACAGGAAGACCAAGGACTGCAGGAAGGTTGTGGGGAAAAGCTGAAACTGACATGACCTGAGGCATATGATCAGGTTGAGAGGATGTTTATAATTCAGGTAGAGATTGGGAAAATAGTAAAAAGTAAGTAGAAACCAAAATAAATACAAAACATAAAAATGGCATGGGAGGAGAAAAGTTGTCCAGGAAAGGAAGGTAATCACAGTCTATCACGTGGTTCAGCTCTAAAATTTTTATTTTCACAATAATGTAAGCACTGAGCACTAATTGAATCACGAATTGTAATAAAATTATTTGGGAGGATGGATGAGGAAGAAGCATGTGCTGAGAGTGGTGTGGAAAATCCTTCAATCTTGGAATTCTGTATAATATCTAAATGTGATATCAGAAACAGATATCATATACCTACTCTCTATTATAGATATGAGGATAAAAGACAAAACAAACAACGTAGTTGCCCTGGGGAACGGGAATTAGAGGGGCAACCTCTAATTTTGGATTTTGTTTAGGATCTTATAGTAATATTTCAAGTTTTAAATTATATACACTGATACTACAAATAATACAAAAATTAAGTGGAAGTATATTGAAAATATGAAGAAAAACATAACTCATTATGATGACTGGTGTGAAAACCCCCCAAAGTCCTAAAAAGATAAATATTCCATCTTCATTTTTACGTGTGAGCTGAGGCCCAGGGTTGACAATTCTACAGTGACAGAACCGGGGATCAAACCCAGTCTTTCTGATTTCCTTTCTCATTTGTGTTGTTACTTTAAATAATATTTAAGTAGCTAAATATTATTTAAAAATATTAGATAATTACTGCTAATTTTAATATTATCCACATGTGAATTGCTCACAGAAATCTGAATGTACAAAGTCCTTCACTAGGATATCTGAACAAAATGAACAGAATCTTGTGATATAAGGTCTTCTTTGTACCCTTGGTTTGGTGACACTCTGAGAAACCAAGATGAACATTCAGGTGAGTAGACAGTACAGCTTTAAAATGTAATACTTTTTCTAATGGATAAATACTTCTCATTAGATCATCCGAAGACACGAGGAACAGATCCTATCACTTAATAAATCTTCTCAATTTGATTCAGTGCACCTGGGAAATAAGATTTCTATTTGCTGCCGAGACATGATTGCATTAAACCTTAATGATGTACCTGTCATGGGGTTAGACAAGAATATTTTAATTGAGTGTCAACTATAACACTGGAGTTCTCTTCTGAATTTACTTTTTTGGAGAGCCAGATATGTTGATGAGCTCACAATTCTCTACCATTCTTTTATGTAGCCATTAATAAATATTGTCCCCTTCCACAAGCCCAAGGCATCACTGGCTTCTCCCTGGTAACGAGATGTTCTCTGAGCCCTTGAGCACTGATTCCTGGAAGTGTCATTATGATGTCTGCAATTTGTAGAATTCAATGGCAGCTCCAGTGAAATAAACAAAATGTAATTCTGTCAAAATTGGACCTTGCCTAAAGGAGGATAATTGGTTTTCATTCAACCTCATATGTGAGCACCTTCAAACATGGTAAATGTCAAGGTGTTTCTTAGAAAATCTTTAAAAGAATTGATAGGGAGAATTTAGATTGAGTTGCTATATGTGCTATCAACCTGATCTTTCTAATCGAGATCCTTGTATTTTGATTTGTGAACTTGACTTTCATACAAGATGATATGTGAATGTGCATTTTGAAAAAAAGAGGACCTTCATGTTCATAAAATTTTTAGAGAAGTTCATAACCCCTAAAACATAAAGAACCATTACTCTATACAAAGAAATGAGGTCCATAGAATGCCTTCATTTGATTCTTTTTAGTGCAAACAAGGATATTGGTAATAGGTATTCACAAATATCTGAGAAATAATATTATAGATGCCCTCTTTTATTACTATTCAATTCATTTTCTATTTCTAAAACCATGAATATCAAAGTCCATCTAAGACAAATTTCATCTCCCCTTTCACTTAACTCTAAATTTATTTTGTTTGGCTTTTAAATATTCATCTGAGATTATCAATAGATAATACTTTTTATCTTGGCATCCTAATTGGATTTCCTACTTCTCTCACTGGATCATATACTGAACATATTTAAGTAGAAAAGTGAAAATCTCAGGTATTTATATTATTCAGTGATTCCAAGAAGAGTAAACCTGCTCATCTTTGTCCTTCTTTCTTTCATTAATCAGAAGCAGCTTTTGTGCCCTATTAGAGTTCTCAGAAGACATTTTCCATTAAGTAATTATAGAGAAAATTAAGGGTCAACTCAAAAATGGGTATGTATCCTGGCTTTATGACTCTTTTCTTTTAAAAGTACTTTTATTTTGATGCTTAAATTCATATCTAAGAGATTTAAAGATGGTTAAATTTAATCTCTAGCAACCTGGGCACATTCCATGAAACTTCTAGGAAGGAAATTTGATTATCCTAGTTAATTAATATTTTCCTTTATTTTCAAGATTCTATTGAATTTTGTTTTAATAAGAAACACAAAACATTCTGAGAAACTTAACAATCTGCTGAGAGCATCTGTGGAGTTTAAAGAGATAAAGTATGTAGGGTCAGGCTGGGTTTTCAGATACAGCCCATGAGTCACTAAATTGAGAAACCACTTTCTTACCTTTCCATGTCCAGAAACTAAATTCTGACAATGCATCTAGGCTTATTAGTTTCTTACATATGAACTCATGCTACTCAAATAGTGAATTGATTATGTGTAAATGAGACACCAATGCATGCATTTCCAGAAAGCAGAGTATATCTATCAATGTCTAATACACTTGGGTCTTGTACTTTCAATATTCCCTGAAATCTGGATACTAAAGAAATTGACAGTTGATAGCTAAGTATAGAATTGTAACAGAAAAAAAAATGGCTATGGGAAAATTCCTAATGGATGCTCTTAACTCTACCACATGTACACACTCCAGAGATGGAGGGATTTTATAATTGCCTGGTGACTTGGTCCAGATTACCCACATTGTAAACTGACTCTGTCATTTCTTGCAGTGAAACCTTGGGGAAAACATTAGGCCCTTTTGAGCCTCATTTGCCCCAACGTTGAACAAGGAGAATAATAGCATCTTCCCCATGAGTGTTTATAAGTTTGAAGTATCTAATGTGTGTATTAGCATTGTGTTGGTACCTAGTTAAGATGTTGTATCCATAGACAGCTCTTTTTACTTCATTCCTTTTCCTTTTTCCTTTATTCTTAATCAACTTTATTTATTTTCCCCTTAAAAATGGAAAGCAAACATATATCTTGAGAAATACTTAGCATTGTTTTTTTATGCTTATGGTTTGAAAGTTTTATAGAAAAGAGACTGTATTCTAGATCTCATTCTGTTTCCTATTTTATGCTACTGTATAATAATTTAATTTATTAAGTTTAACCTGTACACAGTATTCTTCCATATGTACAACCATCATTTATGTACCTGTTCACTTGATGATGGATGCCTTATGACTCCCTGGACAACTCTGATGAGCAAACATGCACAGCTCCTTGTGAATCTGTATAAGCCTTTCTCCTAGGGACAGAATTGCTTATCCTAGTGTGTTCATATGGTAGACCCCAAAGGACACAACATACTTTATATTCTTTTCCAGTACATTAGAGCGGAGAATAGGAAAGGATTTGCAGATGAATGGAAAAAAATATTAAAATATCAAGGAACTCCCTCAGATAGATGTTAGTGGTATGCTTTCGATTAATGAAATATGATCAACTCAGAATGCTGTCCTTGAAAATGAAATAAGGCTGGGGCATATGCAGATCAGTGGTCAATTGCTTGTCTAATGTGTAAGACCCTAGGTTCGATCTTTAGTGCCACAAAAAATAAAATTAAATAAAGAATGTGGCTTAATGTATTAATACCACACCTCCCACAGTGGTTTGGCATCTCCATCTATCTGTACCAGTATGCCCACCTCCTACTATCCTACCAAGATTCTGTAGAAAATCATCGGGTGATGCCTGTGAAGCCCTTAAAATTCCGAAGGCTCAAGCTCTATGAGAGCAAAGCAAAATTGTTACTTTGCATTGATTACTTATAAAATGTTAACTCTACATGGGTCTGTGAACCAGCCCTGGAGACTTGAAGGTCTTATTGGATCTTAGTGTTGGGACTTAAGTGGTCTCCTCCTCAGGCCTGACAATTGCTGATTCCCAAGTAGCCTGTAAAGATATCTTGTAGGGGATTGTTTGGACTTTTGCTCATTTCATCTAGTCAAAGAACAAAAGGTCTCTTGCACTCAGGAATTATAGTGCCTCTTAATACATTATTTGTTCACATATGTTAGCAAAAGGTATTGTTTTGAAGTACACAGAACAAAAAGAAAAGTCAAACCAGGATTCAGTTAAGAGTTTGAATTCACTCCTACTAATGAACATGATTTCTCTCTCTCTCTCTCTCTCTCTCTCTCTCTCTCTCTCTCTCGTACTGGGGATTGAACCCAAGGACATTCTACTACTGAGCTATAACCCAATCCTTTTTATTTTTTATTTTGATACAAGGTCTCATTAAGTTACCTTATTTCAGGTGTTACCTTAATGACCTTGAACTTGAAATCCTCCTGTCTCAGTCTCCAAAGTCACTGGGATTACAGGCGTGCATTATTGCACCTGGCTATGAATTTTATTTTTTAGAGAAAGGAATGCAAAATGATTCACTTAACTTTTGTCTATGTCAAAATAACTAAATTTTTCATTTTAAATAGCACTTTCTTTTTTTAGGGAGGGCAATGTTAAAGACAAGAATGGCAATTTTCAAAGCTGCATAAAGTGACAAATTCTTCAGGAACTGAGGAGGAACAGATTTGGGAAAGTTGAATGATTTTCCTCAGAATAATAAGAGAAGCAAGGTGACACAGAGGGATCTTCTCTGAGCCTGTCCATAGGCAGCTCCATCTTTAATTCAGAGCAGGATTATTTGTAATTTTAATTGTTCAGGATATAGTAGGTAAGATAATTAAATTAGTTGGTATTGCTTGAGCCCTCATATGCTACTAATCCACTTAATCCATTGCAATTTTTGATAATACATAGCACTGTAATTCTTTTACTATTTAGAAAAGCCAGGATTACCCAATAGAAGAGTACATTTAGCAGTAACTAATACCACTGTTTTAAAAAAGAAAACTTTCTATTTTACTGAATTGGGTTTTATTTAAAATTTTTTGTTTTTCTCCTTTTTATCTATGTTGTAATTGTTTCTAATATATTTTCATTCCTCAAGTCTGACTTATGCCCGTTTTATTCACAATATTTAAACATACCAATTTTATCTCAAATGCTATACCAAACAGAAATTATCTCAATATATTCTAGATAACAGAAATTTAAAAGATAGGTTTCAAAGGATATATTTTATATGTAAATATCTTCTTAATCAGTTATCTTTAACTATGAAAAACAGCTTATCATTTGTAAAACCTTTATGGGAGTTAACTCTACATATATTGAAGTTGAATGATGAGATTTGGGATTATAAATTTGTGATTTAACTCAATTTTTTATTTGTTGGTTTTAGATATACATGAGAGTAGGGTGTATTTTGGCATATTATACATAATGGAGTACAATTTATTCCAATTAGGACCCCATTCTTGTGGTTGTCCATGATGCGGAGTTTCACTGGTTGTGTATTTATATGTGAACATAGGAACATTATGACTGACTCATTCTGCTGTCTTTCCTAGTCCCATCCCCCCTTCTTTTCCTTCATTCCCTTTTGTCCAATCCAATGAACTTCTGTTCTTCCCCCTCCCTATCCTCCCTTATTGTGGGTTAGCATCCATATATTAGAGAGAATATTCAGCCTTTGGTTTCTGAGATTGGCTTATTTCACTTAGCATGATATTCCCCAGTTCCATCCATGCACCAGCAAATGTCATAATTTTACTCTTCTTTATGGTTGAGTAATATTCCATTATGCATATATATCACATTTTCTTTATCCATTCATCTATTGAAGGGCACCTAGGTTGATTCCATAGGTTGACTATTGTGAGTTGAGCTGCTATAATCATTGATGTGTTTGTGTCATTGTAATATGCTGGCTGATTTTAAGTCCTCTTGGTATATGCCAAAGAGTGTAATAACTGGGTCAAATGGTGATTCTATTCTAAGTTTTCTGAGGAATCTCCATACTGCTTTCCAGATTGTTTGCACTAATTTGCAGTCCCACTGGCAATGTATGAGTGTACCTTCTTCTCCATATCCTCCCTAATATTTTTTTAAAGAGAGAGAGAGAGAGAGAGAGAGAGAGAGAGAGAGAGAGAGAATGTTAATATTTATTTATTTGTTTTCAGCGGACACAACATCTTTGTTTGTATGTGGTGCTGAGGATCGAACCCGGGCCGCACGAATGCCCGGCGAGCGTGCTACCGCTTGAGCCACATCCCCAGTCCCTCCCTAATATTTACTGTTGCCTGTATTTTGATAATTGCCATTCTGACTGGAGTGAGATGATATCTCAGTATAGTTTTAATTTGAATTTCTCTAATTGCTAGAGATGTTGAACATTTTTTTTCATATTTTTTTGACCATTCATATTTCTTCTTCAGTTCCTTTGTCCATTTATTGATTGGGCTATTTTTTTTTTTTTTGGTGTTAAGTTTTTTGAGTTCTTTGTATATCCTGGAGATTAGTGCTCTGAGATGCAGGTGGTAAAGATTTCCTCCCATTCTGTGAGCTCTACCTTCACATTCTTAATTGTTTCTTTTGCTGGGAAGAAACTTTTTAGTTCGATGCCATCCCATTTATTGATGATTCTTGATTTTACTTTTTCACTTTTGGAGTCTTAGTGAGGTCAGTCTCTAAGCTGACATAATAGGGAGTTGGGCCTATTTTTTCTTCTAGTAGGTGCAGGGTCTCTGGTCTATCGTGTATATTCTTGATCCATTTTGAATTGAGTTTTCAAGCTCAATTCTTAATCCAGCTGTTAGAGTTGTCTGAGAAACCCCTATCTTCAGAGCTTCAGCTCTAACCCATTAACTCTAATTAGTTATGTACTCATTGATTTAGGGAGCTGGAAGATTTGCCTCCTGAAACAGGAAACTTCCTGAATTGGAATCCTTTTAAACAAGTATTTGACTTATAACATAGATAAATGCCAGATAAAACTCCTGCTGTGCTCTTCCTGTGTTCACCCAATCCTGTATCTCTATGGAATAGCCTCTCTTTCCAAATTGAACCTAACCTGATTCCCTTTGCTGAGGTATGAAAAGCAACTGGTAGAAGCATGTGCCATACACTTAAGTAGTATCTTATGGCTAGAAGGGATGCTGGAGGCCTTACGTATTAGCTCATACTGCCCAACAGGAGATCTAATCTGAGCTCCCCTCTCTGTCCCCTGTCACACTAAGATATGCCCAAGAACACTCTCCAAGTTTTCTTAATTCACCTGTCTCCTTCTCCTAGGGCTGTCTTTTCCACAACCCTAAGAGAAGAGATTGCACTGTTAGTATTCAAGATGCCTCAATGCTACAGTGAAAAGATTGGAATGTAACACAAAAACCCACTTCTAGCTCTAACAGTTACAGTGAATATTAAGAGAAGGAACAGATTTTTCATTTGTTTGTTGTTTAAAAATATGATTCTGCCATTCCCTATCTTCCACTTTGTAAGCAAAGCACTGACAGCACTTGCTGGCCACTGTTCTGCATTGGGTCATCTGAAGCAGATCATTGCTGTCCTTGGAGGATGATCTCGAATGCCAGTTACATTGTGAACTAATTCAATGACATGCTCATTGTTCCACTTATTTAGGCAATTGCTTTTCTGCACAGGGAAACATTTTACATACTCCTAACAGTACTAAATTAATTCCAAAAATTTAAGGATTAGACCCTTTGCTGGTTATCTCTACTTCTCAGCTGTGTCCTCCTGGGGTGCAAGACCCCCCAAATCTTCTCCATCATGAGAGGGCTATGAAAATTCAGAAAAGATTAAGTTAACTCTTTTTAAGTCAGTGGGTTTGGAAGCTTGAGCATATTTTTTGGCATTTGTGGTATTTCCGGCCGCTGTAGAATTGATAGAGGCAGATGGGGCTGGGAATTAGTGAATGACCTTCCAGAGTCCCTTCCCCAAATAGGATCAGTGCTGTCATAGTTCTAAAGCAATCACTGTCATTCACTAAGGGTCATCCTGTGATGCTGGTCAGGGTCCTGTTCTAGCTGAATGATACTCTCTGGAGTTGTAAGCCTAATAGCCCTACTTTCAAGCACAGATAAACAAGATGCTGGGGCCTTCTAGAACTTTATTGTATAAGCACTGACAGAAGCTGTCATTTCTTGCATTTTGGCTACTCTAGAATATAAGACATCTGAGACAGGAGCTGATGAAGCTAAGGAACAGTCAGACCAGGTTTATCAATATTTATTTAGCAGATTGTAAAACCCAGGAGTCCTAATCTTTGTCGCTCAAAAGCATGACTCATGCAAGAACAAACAATTTAAAAAAAAATGACTACATTGTTCAGAGTAGTTCTCTGCCTTTAGAGAACGCTAGATACTTCTTTACCCCACATCCCTGTGGTGAAACACTGATCTCATCTACGAATACTGTGTGGCTCAGTTTATCTGAAGCCGGTTATGGTTTCTCCACTTAATAACCCTCATCTACAATTTGTTCTGGAAGAGACGCATAGAAGGAGATGGAGTACAACACCTGAAATAATAGGATTTTACAGGAAATAATGTAAATGAAGCCCTTTGCCCTTAATGACCCATAATAAAATGCTCTTGTTACCAAGCTCTGCAGCAACCCAGTGCTGGTTGCCATGGAAACGCCCAGCTGCTCCCCAGCACAGTTGCTTAATGATCAGTGTGATGTCAGGCTCCTGAGATAACCACAAGCTCAGACAAATCTTTACAGCCATGGTGACAGTCCACTTGGGACTTCAGTTATGTCTGAGTGAAAGCTCCTGTGTCCAGGTATAATTAAAATACACTCAGCCCTAGACTGGAAATGCTTTCAGCAGAGAATTAGGTCACCTTTTAAATTTCTCTATTCACTTTCATTTCTCCACATGACTTCCTGGTTGGAAGTGAGCCAGACATGGCAGCCACAGCACATTACTGCAGATGGCGCTTCACAAACCCGTGACCAGGCCTACCCTTGGTGTGGTTGGGATGTTTGACTGAATTACCATGGTCCACACCAAGAAGGGTCACCTTTATGTCCCTGCTCCCCAGGTTCCTTGCATCTACCTTCCACTGTGCCTGAGCCTGCAATTCTCCAGATGAATCATTACTTGATTAGATTTTTTTTTTTTTAAAAAAAAAAAGGAGGATATTTTACCCAGAACAAAAATTTCAAAATGTATTTATTATCTGGGAGACAAGCCCCGGAAAATGTGTTCTTTTCTTTCCCTTCTTATTCTGTTCTCCCTTTTTTCCCTTTTATTCTCTCTTAAAAGGGTTTGTGATGTGCCTGCTAATGGAAGACAATCACCAGATATACAAATAAGGATAAATAAGATTTCATCTCTGTCCTGTAGGAGCCATGGGGTCATCAGAAGGGGGAGAGGTGTGTGCGCTAATGCTTGTGCGTACAGGGCACACGTGGGCACGGTGTGCCTGAACGAAAGAGAAAAGGCTGTCTAGAGGAGGTGGTGCTGGGTAAAATCTTGGGAGTAAATTAGTAGGACTGGGAACAGGACGAGAGAGGAGGGACAATGTGAGAGGAAGGCATGCAATGGTCTCATATATTTGGAAAACTGCAAGCAATTCAAGATGGCTGGGGCTTGGTCCACGAGAGCTGGCTCAGGAGAAGTAAGAGTAGACAGGGGCCAGAACTGAATGAATTTTGATTTTGTTTATCAGGCTGGTAGGAGTCACCTTAGGGTTATAGGGAGAAAAAAAACAGAGAATTATAAGTGCCATTTAGGGAGATCCTTCTTTCAATAATGAGAGCATGAACAGAGGAAGTCAGAGACACCATGCCATTAGG